TACTTTTCATATCAAATATAAATACCAGCAATCTATTGATTGATTAGAATCAAATATAGAAGCATTTTCAAACTGTACATATGCATCTTACGCATGATGTAATTTATAATCTAGACAATGAATTACAAAAAACATTTACAGATTTACAAACATGTTTAAAACCTATGAAAAATATTAAATGAATTGAATTTTTAGTTTAAAGCAAAGGTGCTAAACTTGAATGTCTTGATAATAAAGGTTTAAAATCTAATTTTGTTCAGGACGTAAATCATTTACTACTATCGAATATTACTAATATTCGATTTGTTTCTCAACGATATATTAGTTCTCTTGTACAAATGTTTAAAATACTTATAATTTCGAATCCAACACTTTTATATAATCGAGTTAATACTAATCACAGTGATTATTTAACTTATCACATTTTATTTTATTCCATCTATCGATTAAAATACTACAATAATCAAACATCATCTTGCTTTCTTAATAGTCAATATTATAGAGCTGCTGTAGATTTACTTCTTTTTACTTTACAATGTTTAAAATATGTATCGATCGAAAAGTTTTGAAGAAATCAAAGTTTTTTGAATATATTAAAAACGAGTTCTTCTATTCAACATGATACTGATCATGAATATTTGTTTATACAAGTCAAATTGAAATATTAAAAATTCTCCTTGATGAAAATATTTTCGATGAAACAATATATTGGAATATCGAATATTATAAAACATTCCAACAACCTCTACAAAATTTAATTATAAGTAATCGACTCGATATAATCTGATTTATATTTAATTATAATGATAGAATAAAATTTTTTTTTCAACAAACATGGAATAGTGAAATAATTGTTGATATTATAATGGGAAATCAAATGAGAAAACAATTATTTCATGCAATTCTAGATAATAAATCATTAGGACCATGGTTAGCAACAAGTACAGATCTAATATTTGTTCTATTACAAAGAAAACCATATAGATTTTTAAAGAAATGATTCCATCAATTACCATTCGAATACATATATAAAGAACGTCTGATTAAAAATTACTCTTTTCTTCCATATAGGCTAATAATTAAAAACAAAAGAAAACAATCTTTCAAAACTTTTCATCTACAAAGTCATAACATCTATAATATTGAACAACATCTAAACCTTGTTTTCCCTGATTTTCTTCAATAAAGGTATAATTTCTGCACAAGAATTGAGAAGTTTGATACTATCGTATCTGAAATACTTATTTCACAAAATTATAAAGTTTCTGAATTTGTATACGGTTATTACCAATAGCGAGACAAAATAAGCTACAAAAATCAGTTTTTATGCTAAGTTTCATATTTTTAGACTTCTTTTTGCCTAGATATTTTCACAGACAGAACTTCCACATTAGAACGGAAAATTTTCCGATACTTATGTAACGAAAGCAGCAGCTAGAACTATTATCCATAAAAAGTTTTTGATGATTGATTAGAAGCAGTGCAGATTCGATAGAGCTCCGTTTGTTGTACATAAACCAAGTTTTCTGAAAATGCATATTTCTCGAGGTTTATTGACACAATAAAATAATTAACTGGAAAAGAATAATCTACCCACCATATACAGAATTTTATCCGCACAAATACATGTATATTCAAAGAGTATGAAGGTCTGGTTGACCGTTTACATGCTCTCTCCTCCTTCAAATCCTCATACCTCTCGGTCATCCAGAAGATCGTTTGAGAAATTTTTTTTGTCAAAATATTCTCATTCTTGAATCTGTTGAAGAGAAAAAGAAAATTTGAATTTTGCTTTTAAATCGGCTTGAGTAGTTTCAGTTTAACCTGTTGTAACATGAAATGATCAAAGTGTATGTTTAGATAGTCTTGACAAATTTTCATCGATAAATTGAAATCAAACCTGTGATTAGTTTATATAGCTAGAAAGAGGAAAGTTTCATCTACAAAAGAGTACGAAAAGAATTATTTTCATTTAATCAAAGTTGTGGAAAGAGGAAAATCAATTTTGTCGCTAGATGTTGCGAAACAGCATAGCTTTTTATCTTTTTCTTTGAAAATTTCGTAGTAGTGGCAGCCAAAAAACTTGATATTTTTATCGTAATTACAGGGCAGAGACTAAAGATTATTTAAAAGAAAGCTTGTTTAAGCTCATGAGTAGACGTTGACATACAAGCGTTTTCGTGTTTGGAAAACGACAGTATTATACAAGTACAATTCTTGAATATATTTACAACTGACATGTCATTTCATAAGGTATTGAGGAATATCATTTATCACATAATCCAAACATATCTTTATATATAGAACGGTACAATGTCAATATTTGTCGCAGTTAATTTAATTATTCTCATCTATATAGTTAATTTCTTGGAATAAGC